TATTAGCTGTAGCGCGGCCTGTGAGGACACTATGTAACTCAGTTTTGATTAATATAAACATCTCACTGGTCAGAATTGCAAAATAATGTAAGTCGATGCGCATCCTATTGTTTATAAAGAGCAGCTAAGAGATGTGTTTAATGCCTATAGCAAATATATTAGTAACGGATTCAGAATGGATAGATTGTTATATATCACGAATAAAAACTAATTGTAAAGATTTCGGTTGAATTTCTGGCTTGCGAAAAAGTGAATGCAGACTTGATTATACTGCATATTACGTAATGTAGACTGTATGCAATCTCCTAATATTGTCATAAGTAATTGCCTCTCTTCACTCAATGCTCATTAAAAACGCTTTCAGTAGCTGGCGTGTCAGGAATGATGATCACTACCGTTCAGGATTACATTAAAACAGGGCTAGCGATAGTCTGGGTCTACAATACTGTATATCCACGGAAATAAATAATTTAAAGCAGCGATTTTGACGCTTATATCAAATTTTGCAGAAAGTGTAACTACTGTATAAATTCAAGTGTTATCGAATACTACACCTTACCATATTATATCAATTAACCCAGCACGCTATGCCTTACAAATTATAACATTACCTTGCATTTTTTACTCAAAACAGTCAGTAGAAATTGACCAATGGAAGGTATAAAAGCAAACTAAAATTACTCGGTGAATATCGTGGGATTAATACAGCAAAATCTTAAAGTGGGTCATAGTATTTTTACTCCTAAATGATATTCATTTTCGGATCAGACATTGAGAAATAGGTGTAGTGATATATCGAACTGAATCAATTAAGATAATAGTCTATTGAATAATTTAATTAAGTGCTTCGAGTCTTAAATCCGTGCCTACTTGCAATTTTATATGAAATCTTGCTTAAAATATTCGGAAGTAAAAAATTTTAGCACGACTCTAGATTCTATTTAAAAAAATTTGCTTTTATTATATCATTCCAAAGGAGAATAATAACCGTAAATAAAGATCAAACTCGTTCATTGCTATTATAGTACAGTCCAAAACGAACCATTTGTTCGTTAATAAAAACCAGCAATATACGATTATATGCTACATAATTTCAGAATGTGGCTATCTGTCGATATGCTGACTATTTATTTCAGCATTTAAATTACAATACAATAATAGCAAATATGCCTATTTTCTGCATCTTTAGTAAAGCGATTGTATTAAAGATACGAGTATGCCGCTACATAAAATGACAACTTGTAATTGCAGTACTTTATAAAAGTAATACTTGAATTCTTGAGAAATAGTTGAATGAATTATAAATTTTAGTTGATTACGCTAATAATCATAATAAACGATGTGATAGCAATTAAAACGATATGTATAAAATTTGATTAACGTATTTTATGTCAATATTTCAAAAACGCTATATTTTCAATATATTATTTACATACAGAATAGATAATCATGTGTGCCTTGAACACGCATTAATTTAATACGACGGAATAAGTACTTCAAATGATCAGCTATTGATGCTGTATATCTGTAAATATAGTCTATTTATTTCGTCTTAACATACAGTCACAGAAAGACAGTCAACTCTCATTCGTCAAGCAATGTAGATTACGACTAATAATTTTAATATATGGCTCTGATAGTCATAAATAGTTTAGAGGAATCAAAGAAAGCTAATATTATTGTTATCGCAATTATCTCGCATTCATCAATGATTTTGTTTTATTTTTTAGCTGACGATAGCGCAATGATTCATGATTTCCATTAGTATTTTTAGGTTGAGCCAAGCGACTAAATATAGATCTCGGGCCATTACGTTTTTTAAGTTCTTCTTTTACTCTAGCCTTTTCTTCTTCTTGATTCTTACGGATTCTTTCCATTTCTTCATCACTATCGGGATGAACAACGACAATACAAGTTGCTTTTGAAACAACTTTATTTTTGCGTCTTCGCTCTCGAGCTATATTTTCGATCAACCTTTCACGTTGATAAGCTAATGCTTCTTTTTGTTTAGCTAATCTCTTGGTATGTTTAGTTACGAAAGCTCTACCACTTGAAATTGAATCAGTAGTTTCGGCAGCAGTTGCATCAATTTGTTCTAACGCTTTATCAAGCATCAATAAATTTAATGATGAAATCTGGTCAGTACTTTCTTGACGATTTCGTTGAGGGTTAGGTCCAAACATGTAAGGTTTCATTGAAAATTGCTTCTTTTCCATCCAGTCGTGAAATGCCAGGCTACCATAAAATTTTCGTTCCTTCTCTTCATCTTGTTCAGCTTTCATTTGACCTTGCCTTTCTAATGATATAATTTTATTAGTAAATTGATTTTCTTTTATAGTTTCTTTTTTATCAATTTTCCATTGCGCTTGATTCAGAATGCGCATGCATTCACGATGACTCCATAAGCGTGCTAAAAATGCTGGCGTATGTCCTCGCTCATCAGGTTGTGTAACTATGGCATTCACTGCAATCAGTTCTTTTAAACAATCAACACTGCCACAAATTGCTGCCATATGTGCTGGAGTTAAGCCGTCGCGATTAGTTCTAAAGACAGTAGCCAATAGAGATCAGACTTAATTCATGTGCACACGTACAGTATTATGATATCAACAGAATAGATGGAGACATTGAGAAATGCGAAGGCAAAGATGTTGCTTAAATAAAAAGCTATCACCATATTGAGACTAAATTAATCGTTATAGTATACATTTACATTCAACTAGCACGATTGAAATTAAAAATAATCAAAATTGTTTAGTTGTTATACCGCATATACATCAAATGTACGTATAATAGATAAGAAAACAAGAAACGATATAACTTACTTAGAAGGATCAGCGCCTGCACGTAAAAGGTATTGAACACATTCCAAACTACGATTTGAGTTATCATTATTAATCGCAAGATGCAATGGTGTCCATCCAGCAACATTAGAGGTATTTGGATCTATCTTTTGCTTTTCAACAAGAAGCATGAGACAATCAAGACGACCATGCAACGCTGCTAAATGAATTGCGGACAATCCCTAATAGCGATTTAACAGGAAATTAGCTATAAAATTTAAGCAATAACCTCAGGAATAGTGTAAAAAGTAATAGTAACCGCAACCTATATGATATTACTTTGTCGGTCGTTGAAGACTACGGTGGAATTTATCAGATCGGATTAATTATCAATTATTACACAGCGTTATTTATAACATGCAGTACGCCATTTCCCGAAACCGAAGTTACAATCATTTTTATCCACATACTATACTCTACATCTATAGCGGATGCAGTTAGTGATACAATTAGATTTCATTGTAAGCTAAGAAAATACAGGTTACATAGATTATTAGCATTGATAAGTCAATAAGTTTATAGTTCACGGTAGTTTAGTTATTCTATCTTGACATGGAATACCTCTTTATCAGTTTGATGAACTGGTCTTCGTTGGCGTATACTCTGGTGCAACCACGCCATATCACCTACTGTGCAGGCCATTAATGTATCTTGATCCTGTACTGTGTTGGTCTTTTTAATTCTCATTCGTGGCTTTGCTAAATTCGAATTTTCATCCATGCCTAGTATTCTTATAATCCGGGAAGTTGTAAATCACTTAATACGATTATAAAAGGATATTTTTCTAGAATTTGTATGGAGGCAGGTAAAAGGAAATAATGGATAAGATTTTATCTGATATTGCAGATCAGAATAAAATATACTACATTATGGAAAAATATCTGCCAGTCATAAAAATAAGGCATACGAGGCTTTGAAAGCTTGACTTCAATGTACCGTTGACAAAATGCTGGAATAATGTTGGTGAAACTATTGGATATTGGCAATGTATAACGTATTGGTAGCTGTATAAAACTGCGGGCTACTGATCTGTAAACAGTACGTTCAGCAGAGACTGAGAGTCTCCGGAAATGAGTAAAATTGAATATACAAGTTACTAACTTATGTGAGGAACTCTATCGCACCAAATTGCTAACCAATTTCCCAGTCAATATTTTATGCCGGTTTTGTTGCTAAGTTACGCACGCCATGCTACAGTATATCTTATACTATTTTATCTCAACTTCTACAGTGTACTGTACTGTACACTGTACAGCCTGAACTGTACGATAACGGTACAGTACTGTACGTACTGTATGTCTGTGCTGTCTGTCTGTACGGTATCTTCTTATTTACTTACTGTCACACAGGACTGTATAGTGTCTGTCTGTCTTTCCACGCCTGCTTCCAGAGTTACAGTACTGTACAGTACTGTTAATTGACAGTCCTGACTTATTACTTCTTCGGACAGACGGACATCTTCCACCAAATGATGCTGTCAATATCGAAGAACGATTACTTAGTAGGAATCTTCCGTGTCTGTTTTCTAATAAATCACTGCTACTAATTTAAATAACATGGACGATCTTATATAGCTATTTCAAAGCAGAACTTGAGGAGTACACTAAGTACTGCCATGATACTGCACATTGTACTGTGCAGTCTGTAGCCCCCAATGCACTACTCTAAGTACTGTCATAACGGAGTGTATGGACATTATTTTAAGGCGATGAGGAGAAATTCTGTCCGTCCGAGAGGGATCAGCCCAGGTCTGATACTGTACAAAAGCGTGCAGCAGGACTACTGTAACAGTACTAGGAGTCCATAGTAAAACCAAGCAAGTAGCGAATTTGGAGGCCAATAGATGACAGACAGTATAGTGTATCGTTTCAGGTATACGATTCAGCTGAGATGACCAGCGTCGCGGTATAGTACTGTTCTACTGGAGTAGAATGGTCGAGCTCGTTTTTATCCCCTAGGCAACCATGCCAGACGGGATGTGCACTGGGCAAAAAGAATTGACTCAGCAAATTCGAATGGAATATATTCATTAATTGGATCTTATTATTGATGTTATGGATGGCCTATGGTTAGCATGAATTAATAGCAGATTCTTTCTAATTTCAATAATTGATTATCCGGCAATACTATAGAAGAGCATTCGCAATCTTGCCCGTCATGAATCGCAATGGAAAGGAATTGGGCTTCAGCCTCAAAGAAATCTGCCTCAAGGTCATTGCAGATCATATTGATGAATGGTTTTGCTCGTCGATATCGGAGTTAACATTAAAAAATTCAATGTATGTTCTTGGTCCATTCGAATGCCTCGGTAAGTTATTAAGGAGCCTACGAATTGAATTGCAGCAATCCTATTCTTAAGGGCTGGATTGCAGATGGAGCAACAACACATTTCTGTGTCGCTATTCTACACGCCTTCGCTTCGAAGCACTACATGCAGGCATGCAGTAATCCTATTCTTAAGGGCTGGATTGTAGATTGAGCAAGAACACATTTCTGTGTCGCTATTCTACCATCTTCGCTTTGAAGCACTACATACAGTAGTCCTATTCTTAAGGGCTGGATTGTAGATTGAGCAAGAACACATTTCTGTGTCGTTATTCTGCACATCTTCGCTTTGAAGCACTACATACAGTAGTCCTATTCTTAAGGGCTGGATTGCAAATTGAGCAACAACACATTTCTGTGTCGCTATTCTACACGTCTTCGCTTCGAAGCACTACATGCAGTAATCCTATTCTTAAGGGTTGGATTGTAGATTGAGCAACAATACATTTCTGTGTCGCTATTCTACCATCTTCGCTTTGCGCTTTGAAGCACTACATACAGTAATCCTATTCTTAAGGGCTGGATTGCAATTGAGCAAGAACACATTTCTGTGTCGTTATTCTACACATCTTCGCTTTGAAGCACTACATACAGTAGTCCTATTCTTAAGGGCTGGATTGCAAATTGAGCAAGAACACATTTCTGTGTCGCTATTCTACACGTCTTCGCTTCGAAGCACTACATGCAGTAATCATATTCTTAAGGGCTGGATTGCAAATTGAGCAACAACACATTTCTGTGTCGCTATTCTACATGTCTTAGCTTCGAAGCAGTACATGCTCACAGAGCAGATTAACTAATACCACAATAGTGGATTGATCGACTATGATATGATATAATGCAAGCAAAGGTATTCAGCCTTTCTGATATCAGTGCAGACTACCAGCATAGGAATATCCGTGCTATCGAACCGTGTAGCTGCACACTCATTGTGTAGAATATAAGCCCATGATCAATTCGAGAGCGATCGAACTGTATCAATTTTAAAGGGACACAGCTAACTGGAGATAACCATCAATTCTACACCAGTAACATATCCCATATCTTTGACATACATCATCAGCATCATTGTAATGTTGCTACCGCCAACAGCAAAGTTTAAGAATTTGAAACTGCAACCGGTGGTTCTAACACAGTTCAACTCCAGTCCGGCTTTGAGCCGAATTGCTGTGATAGCTAATTATATGATCGGTTAGTCCTAGCTTATCACTGTACAGTGTACAGTATTAAGTTAATGCTAACAGCTTGTAATAAGCCATCGAGGATCTTGAAAAGCCTGAACTTACGTCAGTATTATTACGGTATAAGTAAGTATACGCGTACAGTAATTGCGAATCGAACTAGATCATAGTTGTAGATAACATTAATCATTAGTCTCCAAAATACCTTGTTCGCAACATACCCAACGAGCTACAGCCACTCTATCCCCCTGGACTGGATATACTTACTTTTTGTATAGTTGATGTGAACTAAAATAATAAATTTTAGCGATAAGATCGTTGTAGGCCTTCTAAATTAAATATCAGCGTCAAACAGGTAATATTGTTTGATGACCGTTATTATACGCGTAGATTGTTATGCTGCCAGAAAATATCATAATGTTCCATGTTTTGTCCTGTCGATGTGATGGAAACAATTTACCTTTGTCATATCTACTTTATAGATTCCGAATCAACTCAGCAATTAATCAACTTATTAAGTATGAAGAAGAAACTTAAAGTAATGCACCTGCACCTACTGTTGCATTCACGATTGGAAGCAATCGATTTTACCGTGCCGTGCGCTTTCATGAATGATATCTTTATTAAAAAGCTCGAATATCGATGTCCGGTAAGCAATATAACAACTATGAAACTTTATATTAACGATACATGGGTGTCACTTTCGTTCGGTCTTGCAGTATGTAGCTACCTTAATTGTCAGAAATGTCTCCATGACAAGGGTCTTACTGACATGCCAACCAAGTAGCTGTTATAATTGTTGAATATTACGTTAGATAAACTGTGTCACAGACTTCAATAGCTGGAACTTACGCTTGACTGAATTAAGTAACTTCGATGGCCAAATATCTATTAGCTAAGAGTGAAGTATATCTTCATCGGCAGCCTTGTAATAATTGCAGCTAATTACAGTGATTGTCTGTTTTAAAGAATGATAGTAATATGAAGTTAAGCACCATGTGATGTACAATGGTTAATTGTGCTTAATAAAACAGTATACTAGTGCCATTGGAATTAAGATCCATTCGTTGCAGGCTTTAAATCGATTAAAATTATCTAATAAGACCTACCGTAATAATGAAAAAAATGATGAGGTGCTCTAGCTGCAACTAATACCACATTCAATTAATGTAGCTTGCAAGTGAAAACGCCTATCTTTGCTTCAATCTTAATATATCTACTTAGAAAAGTAGCATAAGAAAAGTATAACACTGAGAGAGCAATTGATGGTACTTAGACCAATCAAACTATCGAAAAATAGATTTGGAATCAATTAGAATTAGTAAGCAAGCGGAGTATATCACTCTGATGTAACTACTCGATAAATGTTTAATTGAACCATCTCAACTTACTACTTTTTATATATTTCACAGAGCGATTAGTGGTATCATGCATTCAGAATTATATTTTTATGCTACTCTAAAGTAATTCTAATTAATTAATCCATTACAACTAATCACACAAATTGAAATAGATTATGCCTTGCTTTTCCTTTCTAAAGTAACCTAGCAATCTCATTTTAAGTAATCTACAATCAGTACATTTGACGCTCATAGTATTCTATTAACTAATTAATGCATTTAGATCGGTTAAGTTAGGTTAGCTATCTACGATTTATAGAGCTCAACAAAAATTAAGATCAACTAACAATGATAAATCATAACCCGCATAAAGGAATCGGGAACATAATTATGTAATACTCATTTGCACGATAATTTTTAAAAAGCAAAATTAGTCATGGTCACATTCGTACTACAATACTAGATCTGTCTACTCTATTACTACCATACATCAATTGCTTCATACAAACAATAATTAATTATTTTAAACTAAAATTTATAAAGGAAAATTCTAAAACCATCTAAATTACAAACTTATAAACTTTCATTGATAGAAATTAATCAGAATATCTTTAAAGAACTGTTCCAAAGTAACGGCAAAGGCAATCAAGTGCTTGGCTGAAGCTTTCAATGCATTACAGTATCTCGATCTTAGCAATTGCTACATGGCTTGTAAAGATGATGTGTTAAGCTGCATTGGAAATAACTGTGCACAATTACGGCAATTAATTTTAGATGGTTGTAGCATGATCACCGATACTGGAATAAAAAATTTTTGCCAGTGTTTTGCCAAAGCTAATCGAGATCGCAAATTATTAAGGAAATTGAGCCTAGTTAATACACAGGTACGATTCGATAACTACTCGTATTAATTAATTATTAAGATCTTTTAATATCTAAGTTAACCCGTTCTAAGTGCTAGTATTGTCCTTATATCAGATTACGGATGCAGGTTTAAGGGAAGTATTACAGACCTTTCGGCTGCTTTCCACACTTTCCGTCAGTGGATGTAGAGACATAGTAGATCCATTTTGTTCTTTCATTCCTCAAAAAAAACTATTTAGTCTTTCTATTCTTGACCTATCAAATACGGGCATTAATGATATATCTGTTGACCATATAACGACTCTATGTCCTGGCTTACATGATATTAACATTAGTAATTGTGATAACGTAACAGACGTTACTATTACTACTATTAATAGTATTAGTGGAGTAAGAAGTTTTTCTATTGCCGGTTGTCATTTAATTACGTTTACTATTGGAATTATCCCTTTACTATATAATCATGGATATCAACTGGAAACGCTCAATCTTTCCGGTATGGATAATATCGACTTAGCCGCTATCTGGCATCTTTGTCCTCGATTAAAAGTATTAATAATGGAAAGCTGCAAAGATATTTGTAAAACACCTACATATGGAATAGATACCAATCAGAGTCGCCATCTTCATTTACAGAAACTAAATCTGAAAGACAGTACATTTTATCAAGGGGAAGCAGACGTTGACGAAAGTCGTTCAGATTGTTTAAAATTTATAAAGAAATTTTGTGGTAATACATTGAAGTATTTATATTGGAGTAGGATGGAAGGAATTACTGATTCATTAATTTGTGATTTTCTAAATGAAGATTGCTTCAATTCTTTAACTTATTTGGAATTACGTTACTGTCATTATATCACAAGTGATAGCCTAGAACAAATTTTACAGTGTTGTCCATCTTTGCAACAGTTAGATATTCGCTTCTGTCAGCAAATATCCACCGCCAATAATGAAGAGCTGAAATCATACGCAGATGAGATAAATCATAATGTTACAATCCTTTGGGAATAAACTGTGGCAGCCTTGGAATTGTGATTCTTTTTACGTTATTGATCGAGCTTGTAAAATTTCCTATGGAGACATTTCTACAACTTATGCTGTATACGAGTATGTACAAAGTCTTATCGGTAATGCTATTTCTTTTTGCTATCCAAGTATAACGTGCCCTTTACTGTATGAATCGGATATGATGAATGTACTAGATTATGGTCTGTTCGATTGTTTTATTACAACCATCGTGCTTTGCATTGGTATAATTAACATGCAACCGTCATGGTATGAGGACGTATATGAAGCTACAGCGCTACGGGTGTTTGTATTGTATTAAATATTGGAAGATTTATGATTCTAATCCAAGTTTGAAATTCCGCTTTAATTTGTAGAGATTAATTAGTTTCATTGCCAATTAGCAAATTAAACTGAATACAATACTAAATTAAAACGATTCCATTTTTTGTGCAATGTGCACTGACAAGAAGCAGCATGAAATGTTTGCATAATTGATATCGTTTTATAAAATTTTCTATACGTGTAATGAATGAATAACCTAATTGCAATAAAATGCGACATTGAAATTATTATTGACAGTGAAAAATAAATGCACATTAATGAAACTACAAAACGAAGCTTAAAAAGTGATACTGTAACAGACTTATAAAATTTAATGTCACAGCTGCCCACGGAATTAAAAGTACAGTTTGATATGAAACAAATTTGACAATGTAGCTGGCGATAAATTTACAGGAAACAGAAAAAGTTATGTCCATACTCTTGCCTAAGTATGACAATGTCACAGATATCGATACTAGTTCTATTATTGGAAGTATTCTTATTTTATTTTCTTTGTTGCTGTGCCAATATGGCAGTTGTTTACCTATTAGTAAATATTACCGATCATAAAATTTGTTTAATATTAAAACTTGCAGAAATTCACATACATAAGATTGAAGGTGTAACTCTTTTCCAGTTCAGCAAAACTAACAACTTTAACAGTAGCTAACGATAATACTAACCGTTGTAGCAAATCTTAAAGAATTTAAACTTTCTTGAAATGATACTTCATATGGTGAAATATTAACAAACATCAATCTATTGGAGAGAAGTGAACATAATTAATAGATGTTTACAAGATTGCCAGGGCATATCAATGATTAATTTTATTTTACTTTACTAACGTTTTGCTATTCCCGCCCAGTGAATTTTGAAGTAAGTAAGTAAGTTTTGAATTCCTGTACGGGATATGTGAGTCCTGAAGGATTAAAATTAATTTAAATTAAGGACATGGCGAAGATACCATCGAAATTTTAATGCTCTAACCATTATAATTAACTATGATCAAATCACTAAAGATACTTTATGACAAATAGCAATATAGACCTTATTAGCTAGAGCTAGAATAACTATCCCCAAATTACTCAAACTCTTGTTGATATTCTTAGCCTCAGTCAATCTTTCGCCGGTCGATTTGGAAACAAACACTCTCTCTGAGCCAGCGAGATCGATAAGATTTAAAGTTCCTATTGCGAATGTAATGCAATTCGAAATTAACAATATCGCAAGTAACCCTTGCATTTTCCCTGAATTAAGAAATTCTACCTTCACAGTTTTCATTAGTGATTGTATTTTCGCCAATTAATTTTAACCTAAACACACTGTGACTTCGCGAAGATCTTTCATTACATTCAGTCGCAGCAACTGCTCGGTTCTGCGTTGCTTTTGCCAACAACTTATGAACCTGAATATAAGATTAGTGAACACGCTATAAGCTCTACCCATAATTAATCAAAAGTTTTTTTCATACGTTATTGAATGCTACTGCATATTATCAAGTCGACAAAACTAGCCTCGTCTTCGGTTGTAACATTGACAATTGTTAAATTCGTAACTTTGACATCTTTTTTATCGGGCGTAAATCTGATTTCGTGCTTGACATTATTGTTACTCCCCAATAAATCGCGAATAGTCTCGTTGTAAATCTCCAGAAACGAAGCTTCCATATGATACTGTATCAGATAATTATAGCGTTAATATCTACAAGAGTATAATAAAATAGGCTGTCTAATAAAGGAATTGCAATTCTCGCTATTTATAGTACACATTATATGAAAGATTCTAAATTACTTTCCATCCTTTTTCTTTTAAGTCTTTAGCAGAATTAAATATTTGAGCCACAGCCCTGGGAATAATACCAACGTTGGTGTAGTTAACATTATCAGAAACTGGAGGGCCTTCCATGGTGTAGGTCTTACCACTTCCAGTTTGACCGTAAGCAAAGATACATACGTTATAGCCGTCTAGAGCACTTTGAACTAACTGCGAAACTTCATTAAATACGTTTTCTTGGCTAGAATCAGGATGAAACACCTTGTCAAACTTAAATTCGTACTTATTTGAATTTCCCTTGGTGCTAGGTGTATCCTAAAATCGATAAATTTTAAAAAAATTTTTGAATCAGCAAAGATAACACTAAGCGGTATGCAGCTATCCAAAATACGCATGCCATATATTAATGTACTTACTGAAGGCTGACTACTCTGTAATAACTTAATGTTTGCATCTGAACCTTCCGCAAAAATGATGTGTGAAGGATACATTTTCGCTCCTTCGCTATTTGTTAGTGGTCTCACACGACAAAATACACGAATATTGCCTTTTAATTCCTGAACGCAATTATGCAGTTTGCGCCTTTCAGCTTCTCCACTTCGAAGTTCGGCATCCTTTTCTTGTATTGTAGCTAAGTAATTTCTAACGTCTTGTTCTAATTTCTCTATGACTTGATTTAATCGTTGGCACTCGCCGATTTTAGCTTCTAATTGAATCCGAACACCATTTAAGTCGTTAGTTATGGACATGGCTTCGACATGTGCTTTTCGAATCTGAACGTCTTTATCCTCTAAAGTGCTCAAGTAATTTAGAATTTCTTCTTCTTTTTTACTTATGGCTTGATTTAATCGTCTACATTCCGCACTTTTTGTTTCTAATTGAGAACGAGCAGTGCTCAATTCTGTCATTATTGATGCAGTTTCTGCGGTCATTTTTGTGATCGTTTGCTGAAATGTACTAGCCTCATTACGAGCAACTGATAGTTGATTGCCAAGGCTTTCACGATCTCGTTGTAAGTTTTCCTTTGATAATTTAAGTAACTCAATCTCATATTCATATTTTTTCATTGAATTATTTATTTCATCTTGCAACCCTTGAACTTCTTGCTGAAATTTAACTTCTTTGTCTTTCATTTGCTGTTCAATACTAGTGGCAGCGCTTAACTACAAAAGTATAAATTCCAACAGTTAGCCAATACGTAAAATATTTAGAAATCCGCATAAGGTATCAGATGATGAAATAACTGGCATGTATTTAGCAAACTTAGAATTGAAACTAGCATGATTCTTCAAAATCTAACCATCAACGTAGGAAAGTATAACATTTATTACATATTTAGAGCACCAGTAACATGATATTTTACCTAACCTGATCATTCAAAGCTATATTTTCATCTAGAAGCTGTTGAATTTTGTTGTCTTTGTCTTCGATAGCTTTACAACATGTACTGTGCATAGCAGGTAAAAGACCAAAAGCTTTATCGTAAACTTCCATTCTAGATTTTAAATTCCATTTCGGATACTTGCTGATCTCATCTTGCATAGCATTTAGTTGCAAGCCAAGTGCTAAATCAATTTAGTACAAGAAATATCAAGTAAGAAACATGGAAACTTAGAAACTGTTTTAATTAATTAAATAAACAGCAAAATGCTTAATCATTACTATTTTTAATTACTCAGGAACTAATAGATTACGTTTAGGCTTAATACAATGCCTGAAGTACAGGAATAATTTACATTCATTTTTTCAATATTTGATTTCGGCTTAAGTTGTTGAACTACATAGAACTACTTTAAATTTATAATTAGAATTAGAAAGCAATAGCACAAAAGCAACAAAACTGGTAAACAAATTGATCAATTTTCTAGAAGTCATAATACGAATTAAAACACTGCTGATATTTTACACGTTGACGTTACGCCGGTACGTATTGTAAGTCTTTATATTTACGCGATTTTATAATCATACCATTCCAATCAGTCAAATTTGGTTGAAAGTCTTTTATGCTATTCAAATTCTTAACACCGTAGCTATGTTTGCTGTCCGATAAAGTGCTACGAACGCTCTTTTTGCGTGTGCTTAATTTCGATGATTCTCCAACTCTAGATGTATTGAGCTTCTTGGGAGGCTGAGTTGAATGAGAAAACTTTTGCCTTTGCGCTTTCTCAGTTACCATTTTACGCACATTTCTAGAATCCTCAAGGTTAGCTTTCTTCTTGATTGAGGCATTTTTTGTATTAAATGCGGTATTAGAAGTTCGCAATTTTCCTGCTGACGCCTTGCCACTATCAATTCTGCTGCTGTTTTGATTGGAAATTTTGTGTGGTGACACTTTGCAGATTAGACTTTTAGACTTAATACCTGGCTTCGGTAACTTAGATTTGACAAAGTTTCGTATCGGCTCAATATTCTCTATTGTGTTATCCAATTTGGATTTCTTCAATATAGGCTCAGCAGAATCCTAAAATGATTAGGAGCAAGCAATAATAATTAATAGATGATAAACTATATATTTAAGATTCCATCTTATAACCTCAATTTCGTTTAAGTCCTCTTCTAAGGGTAAAATCTTTGCAGACCGTTTAACCGCTGATGGTGGCCTTAATTTGGTAACACTCGGAGGACCTTGTATACCATCATTTATTACATTGATATCCCTCACAGCTAATGGAGTCAATGGCTGGTAGAATGCAGGAAAGTACGAGAAATTTAGTATAACGTGTAATTAATTGATACCTCCGTTTCTATATGTACCAAAGCATGCCTGGTATGTATGTATATATATATATATATGTATATACTATATCATACAGTACAATAAATACAATAGCTAAAGCGTTCAGTTAACATAATGCAACTTTTGCCCCCTGTTAACTTGCGTACTATATCACAAATCAGTTAGGCAAATAAAACCTTACACCAGTCGTTATGGCATGAAAGTTAGATAAAATTATGCCAAGTAAAATAGAAAATATATAATTGTAGTAGCAACTACTGTACTGGTATATCGGTATTTTCCCTTGCTTCAAAACTCCACCACTACATCACCAATACAATTTCATCATCAAGTCATCTCTGTAAGTTAGTCTACATCCAGTCAAATCTCACTGAATGAATTAAAGTCGAGTTCTACATCTGTATGCTTCGATTAATTACTGAATACTACCTTGGAAATTACTGCAAATATTGGCATGCAATTACACTGCTCAAACAGTACGATAACTGCTTGACTATATTACTACATTGAATTTATACATGTTTATCATATCCTCATGATAGAACGTAAGAACAACAATCATCATCGGTGTATTCATTTATTGATGATCAAGTACATCCGACTTGCTCTATTAATTCGTATTTAAGTTTAGTAACTAGAGAATAATCAATACCAATATCTTACCTTTGCCATTTTTGAGAATACGATCAATACTGCTTAGCTTAACCAGTTAATACTTGCGCCTAAAGTGATCAATTTTCAAGACGTAGATTAATTCAATTCAGTATATCGATCTCGATTTTAATAGCAGTCTAAACGGTAAGATATTCATCGTTCCATTTTATTTATTGTACAGTACAGTAAGTTCCAGTTCCTGATTGAGTGTGTCTATCGTTGATTTTTTTTTTAATTATCTTTAAACATGATTGGATTGCAATACCCAAGCAACAAAAAATGAATGAGATTTCTACGCTACACAGCAGTTGGTAGCTATGCAACAAGTTCAAAGTATCGAAGTATCTGTGCTGCTTTAGTTTTCACAAAACTATGTTACTACATCAATGCTATCATCATAATAATAGCAATTAATTGATAATTAGGGTATTCGCGTGCCTCAAAATAAACAAGATGAAGTTCAATAAAAAGTACAGGTCCTGTTGCAATCTAGCTACTCGTTTTTTTGCAAGAAGGAGCTCATTTGTCATTAAGCATTGCTTCAACGTGAATGTTGAGATTGCCTACATACCTTCTTTCCCTTGGGTGAAACGTTACCTTCAGGGTTGATCATCAAGATTGGATTGCTTTCTAATTTTGAAACGATGAATGCGAAATGAATACTGTTGTCATCGTATGGAATATATAATAATAATATACGATGGTAGCGAGCTGTTGTAGCTAAGCAAATGTGCAACCGACGTTGCAAATGATGTCATTGCATTCACCTAGGCGATCGCTATAACTTAATACCGACTACTGCGAATGATCCATACAGTCGATAGCATGCAGTATGCAAATCTCTTTCATCAAGAACTATTTGATTTTTAACGGTAATTTTTTTTGAAAACAGACTATCGTGGACGTCCAGTCGGACGGATGCGTCCGTTGATTAGCATATGGTTGGAGACTGGTAGCTCAAACATGATAATCAATTCAATTCGTGACTGAGTCGTCCATCCGTCCACGCCATAACAGATTCTGCTCAGTACAAAAGTGGTCTCTTTGGGCCAGCGTACAGTGTACAGTGCACTTCACTACAGGATAGTACTGTACAGTGTTACGGTGGCCCAGTACCAATACAGTACAGTACTGTACGTACAATACCTGCAAGTTGCAAAGATTTTGTGGTAGACCGTAGACGCATAGCGGAGTCACTCACTCATGGAGCAACTCGCTATACTAGAGTATGAAGTGCGCGCAAAGACTTTGTGCTACACACATGATTTGAAACATGCGCAAAGGCTTTCAAGTACAAGCACACGATTTCTAGTACGAGCAAAAGACTTTGTGGTACACACACACATGATTTGTACTGTAGTCCGCAGACTCTTTACAAAGTACAGTACTGTACAGTACAGTATGTACTGTACTGTGCTGTACTGTACATTGTACAGTAGAGATACGGTGGTAAATACCGTACTGTACTGTACACTTAGTGTACAGTACAGCACTCGCAAGGACAATATTGAAAGTGTGACGCCATCGAGAAAACTACGATGCTAAAGCGCGGCTGACGCCACGTGTACGATATGGCGCCAGTGAAAATGGTATTAACCTGATGCTGTACCATGGGCTACTACAAAAAGACATTGAGTTTACCTGCTACACTATACTGTACACTGTACGAGTAGTTTTGTTTGTTTTACTTCTGTTTGTACAGTGTGAACCAGTTCGAATCAGAGTACTTTAATGGCAGCAGTTTTGACGTACTGTACACTGTACTGTACTGTACACTACACTGGGTACAGTACATTACTTTACTGTACTGTACTGTACAGTGTACATTGGACATGGCCATTTTTTTGGCATCAATTTGTATAACATTGATCGCAAATGTATGGCTTTAATATGTACAGATCGCTCTTGACTTGGAGATTCTATATCCGTAATGAGTGGGTAACTTTCGACGATAGAGACTTATGTGTATAGCAAAGTTGATAACGATTGGTCTTTTTGAGCGTTTTGCTTCTACTTGCTACTATTCAAACATACAGTGTACAGTATAGCACTGTCCAGTATTGAAGAAAACAGATCACCTTCAGTACGGTGACCGAGAAGGACCACTCATCTACTACCGTACAGAGGGTGTCCAAAAATTATCCCCGCGCACAAATTTAAAATTAGTATTGCCAAATCGAGCAGTAATTTGCCCAAAAAATGTACCGAAATGTACAGTAATAAATAACCTATCATAATCTGAAAAATTTAAAGCTGTAGGTTTTGTACTTTTACAGATATTAAGCTTTAAAATAAAAAAGTTTAAATAAACGATGCTACCGATTCTACAGTACTTTCTAAACAGGATTTGACTACAGTAGATGCGAGTAAACCTACAGTACTGTACTGTACTGTACTGTAGGCTGTCGACTCTCGCGCAGTTGCCTGACCGAGGCCAACAAAACTACACCTGTCCACGGTAAAAGTCGTAAAACCAGCATACAGTAGAAGATCTTTGCATCATATCGCCTTAAAAGGCTGCATTGATCTGATTCTAGATTATAATTGGTGTCGACACTGCATGAAAATGGACATTAATAGAACAGAAAATCCCTCTAAAGTATAGCATGCGTACAGTGTACTCCATCTTTTCAAATCATGAGCCATGACATTCTTATACCAGCTTGTTTGTTATTACTTGGCTTCAAAATTGAACTTGCTTAACAATACCCAACGACTGTATACAGTCCTATAGTACACAGTTGTTGCCATGTCTGCATCGCTGAGACGCAAATAACAGCGTAACAGAGCAAGTTAACACTGAGTAAAGTACAACCGTAGTGTCAAGACATATATATATATAGAACATCGAAAGCGTACACATCTTTTCATTCGATATGGAGCACAAACCATTTCGCTATTGCAAAGATAGAAATTTCCTTTATTGTTCTGCTCCATGTACGTTTACTTGCATTACGATAACTCCGTCTACGAACAGCCTTGCATTAAAATTTCTAAACAATTGCCTTTATCATTTTCAGAAAGGGCTAATTAGATACTGCTAGTATCGTACTAGAGAATATGATCAAAACTCAGCCAGTTAGAAGTAAATAGTCATGAAGGTAAAAACTTGACAGTAAATTACATAGTATAACAAATGAAATTGAACATTTGTAAATAAAAATTTTAATAGATCACTAGCTAAGTCTCTCACAAAGCCACTCTACTATAGCACCGTAGAAACAAATTCAGCTTCTTACACATAGTTTTTCTTCTATCATGGCTAACAAAAGAAAGGCGAATGAGGTTGCAAACAAAATTACAGTACACATAATTTAGCAATGATACAATCTGTGAAGTGGGCATAGATAGCATCATTATGGCTTGTGTTGTATTACGATTCTATAGTCACATAGCCAGATTTTCATTACAGCATTCCAATACCAATGCATTTAATAACATCTTTTAACGCAAAAATTTTTGAATGTAAATCGGTTACTGTACAGCAAATGATAATACAACTGATTGTACGAAACTTAAAAAGAAATATAATATCAATCCTTATGTCGGGGGGAGGGGGCACTTAACAATTTCATTAAACCATCCAAAGTGGCAATAAATTTAGTTGAGCTTTGGTGCACCTTTGATATCCAAGCTTTCAAGACGATACTGCTTGATAATGTTTTCTCACGCAAAGACTGCACTATATACGATACATAAGAAATTTGGTGTGAAGTACGGATAGCTACTATAGCATAAGGATGCAATTATTACAGCCACCACATTCTTTATAGGTACAACGGGCAAATATTTTAAACACTTTTCTTTTGCTACGCTTCAGCGTTAGCATATATGTCAAGAATATATTTAAACAAATTTCTCCTACGTCCCACCATATAGATTTTTTCATTACTTCATACGCATGCAATATTATCCACAATCTAAGTTGCGTACTAAATATCACTAATATATATTGTGCCATAAAGCAACATTAATCAGATTTAGTGTCATCGTTTTTCTTGAAACAAATACAGATTATTTGTAGCTGCAACAGCTAATATATTTTCGGAGGGATGCCACGCCGCGTGAAGAATTTTCTTATTAAAGTCCAAACTCTCAACTCCAATTTCGTCTTTCTTCCGTCTGTTTGACGACGACACATGCTTTGGCTTTAAAATACTCTTTCCTTTTAATGTTACCTCACGAGATGCTTCAAAGCAGTTATCCCGAAGTGAATTGCGGTCAAATAATCGGAAAAAGTTGTTATACGAACCAGTCATAATACCACTGCAAAAGAGTATCCAATAAATAAAAAATCAATTGCTTCTATATATTCCATAGTTAAACAACGAAACACATCCTTACGCTAACAATCTGACCAACTTAATCAACAATAACTAACCTATCATCACCACTCCAACAACATTCAAATTTGTCAAAAATACAATCGTTCTCGTACAGTGAGCACAACCTATTCCGCAAATACTCATGAACATAATAAGTTTCTACTGGCTTTGAATCCATATGTAGGTCCCAAACTTTCACCGTTAGGTAATCGCGTGATATCATATAACGACCATTATGACTAAACTTTACATCTGATATAGACGCAATTATTTCCGAAAAGAAAGATCTATTATTGACATCTTCTGGCTCTTCGAATACTATGTACAAAAATGAACCAGTTGCAAATTCATCATAAGAATTAAAAATAGTACAATATGACATGAAAGCATCAAATAAGAATAGCACTTACACTTAGCATGTTTATCACATAATGCTGCAGCCCTCATATCGCACAACTTAAGAGTTCCTTTGCTGCTACTATGAATGAAAACGTTACAATTGCGGGGATGAAATTCTGCACAGGTTATAACTTCTACAAGTTCTTCCATATTGGCTGGCTTAATGTCAACAACATCTTAGAAGTAACCGTTAAAGAAATTATAAACAAGAACTGGATTGATAGAATACATTCAATTACCACAATTAATAATCATTGCAAAATTGTATAAAATAACTGCATTCATAACATCTTTATTCAAGGATACTGAAACTTTGATCGGTTCTACTTAAATTCCAATAATTTATCCTTAAGTCGTCGGCGGATAAGTACGTTTCGTCGTCGCTATTGCACGAAATTGAATTAATATGATAAGTGTGAGCATTAGCGAAAACACGCTTTAGACTTGCTTCCACTGTTAATTCCATAGGCCTTAACACTGGGACATGAAGCTTAGTAATATTTCTTGGATCCCTCGGGAGGCCACTTTCGTCGTAACAATTTAATCCATCGGCCCGAAATTGACGCTCAGCAACTTTCCATAATTTTATGGTTTTATCTACGGTTAACAAAGAAGAAGTGGCCATAATAGTTAATGGCTATACTGTATGACGTGACGGAATCCTAGTAACTCTTGAATCGGCAAAGTATCGAAATATGATCAATGGATACTATAAAATTCTTTCCATATATATATTCGTAACTATCAATCTATAACTAGGAATTTTGCGCTCAAGATCGCTTAAATTGTACCCATGAATTAGCATTGTAAAGATTTTAACTTCTAGGAGAAAATTATCCCAACGATATCGTTAACTACATTATATTAGCCAAAACGGATCCAATTTAATGTTTCAATTTACAGAATACCGTAGGTTACACAAAACGCAAAGTTAGAGTACCCTACTTAAATCTACTTCCGATAGGCGCTACGTTAAACGCTAAGTGATACCAATACAAGATAATCAATTTATTAGATATAATCGAAATACTGCTTATCGTATCTCGTAAAATTAGTAATAACCTTAAGCTACGTCTATGTAGGGCTTAAAATCTACAAATCAATAGTCAACTTTCATAAGCTAAAACTATAGTGAAAGTACAAGACGGCCCTGTAAAAGGTACTGTATTACAGATTAATTATTATATACTGTTATTACACATACAAAATATGCAATAAGACTTTGCGTATCATTTAGTGGGGGAAAAAAAATGATGTGTTAAAGACTTAACTAGCGATGGTCACTAATTACTATGATATCTACTGCAAGATAAATGATGACCGTGACAATTCACTTAAATATTTCTCAATCATTGAGCGATTTCAATACTGCAATTCAGTAGCCACGACGTGCAAACGCACAATCAATAAATAGCATTAATCTAATCACACAATTTCAGATTGAATATTAAAAGATACAGAATTAAAGCATTACAGGATCATGCAGACACTTGCCAAATAGAAACTAAATTATTGAAAAATATTGTATAAAGCACTATTCAACTAGTGAACAATAGCTATCAAAAAATTATTTTGACAGTTTGAACTGCTATAAACAAAACGCTCAGTCGAGATTAGTTCATCTGGGGGAAACATCAGGTAAAAGTAAGAAAGAAATTCCCTTTTGAACCCTACTAATGGACACAATTAATTTTACGCGGCGATAAAGGTAAGTACAGAAGACTAGAAGAGAACATGGATAAAATAAACAAGTTTTCGATTCAACAATGATGTTACAAACCGTTAGTAGATAATAAAAAATGGGCGGAATTGGGCCTTTTAAGCCAACGGATCTTGTTAATTTTTTCTTCAATTTCTAAGCTCTTCAAATAGTCAAATTCAGGCTCATGGCTTTGAAATGTACTGTATACATTATATTCTGCTCTATATGGCGGTTTCTTCGACTAAGGTGGACGATATTGAAAAAAAAGAATATTTAAAAGAACGTTTAATCAAGCATTTATTTACCGTATAAGGAAGCTTGATTTTATACAATTGCAGCTTTTCATAGCATGCGATTGAATGAAGAATAAACTGCTAAGGTAATTAATAAGAAAATTGTCTAAATGCTATCAAGAAATCATCAAAAAGTCCATCTGGCGTGCTCTATATTATAGTAATGTATATATAATTTTTTTGAATGGAAAAAATTAAAGGTTCTGGGAAGTAATATGTTTGCGGTAGCTTAGTGAAATAGTGGCTTTTTGTCTTGACATGTTTATAAGATAGATAGTGCCCACGTCCATGGCAGGCTTTCAAGACTCAATCGACTGCATTATACAATGAAAGTAAAAACAAACCAGGCAACATACAGCTAAATAAATCGCTTAGAAAGCATTCAACTATTAATGTAGCAGATCTCTCAGAATGTGGAGAAGATGGAGGAAGCGAAGGATTTTAATAATACTTTCCATCTCTATCTTGATCGTTCATGAAATTGTAATATAATGGAACTACTGGCAGTTTATCTATTACATTGTACAGTACTTCCATTGGACTTCAATTGCGTTTAAGTTGTAGCATTAAGGTTCTATGCCAATACATACGGTAGATAGAACAAAGATTACAGATGGCGTAATAAAATAAAATCATCTATAGTCCGTTGAAGAATCAACATTAATAAGTATAGTACAGTAAGCGATCGAGAGCCATCTATCTTGAAGAAATCCATTACATACAGTCTATGTGTCAAAGAGGTAATATCAGTCCTATCTGCATCTCCCTTGTAGACCAACAAGGAAATGGAAGTGGCAACAACTACGATCGCTTTTAGACTAGTATCAATGAATACGTCTTCCATGTCATTTTAAGTGTAGTTGAAGGTTTACATTGATATTAGAGATGTATTTTTAATTAGATTTGTTGTATTTCTATACGAGTATCTACATATTATTGATGCTGTTGTAATTTGAAAGCTTGTTTTGAATCAAGAATACTGTATAATAAACAATATTTATCGACACTTTCATGACTTTTTAATACACAGCCAGTTGGAAGAAAGTAATCCATTAGAAAGTCAAAAATTGGCCATTTAGTTAAAATACTCTGCGCACAATTGAACAAAATCAAACACTTGGTCATTAGTAGGAATCCATACCGTGGCTTCGCGCTGGAATATGACCACGCGGCCACCTTTATCTCCGGTTGCTAATAATTCACCAGTTTGATTAAATTCCACCGTAGAAATAATATCGGCTATTGAAAAACAAGTTGATCATTAGTATTAGAAGCGAAAAATTGGATAATATAGAATTGGATTTAGGTAGACAAGTTCATCAACGACTTTGTCCAGTCTTGATGCAATATTTTAGCATTGATTTTGATACTGTAAGAAGCGTTGTGTCTAATGCGCTGGAGAAGAGGCAAGGTAGAGCTCCATTCTGCCGTCCGTATAGTATAGTAGAGTAGGGGAAGGGCATGATGTGGTCGGCTGTATACGCAGAGTACAGTAGCTACTGGTGTACAGTATGTTACGTGTACTGTATCGTATAGGAAGAGAGTTTATACAGTAGAGGTGTAGTATGTCCAAGTTGAAGAGGCAGCTTGGTCAAAGCGGCAATAAAAAAGAATGGAGGTCATCGACGATCGATTGATAAAAATGGACGTGGAAAATATTCAACTGTCATCATTGAAGGACATATGTTGAAGATATTTTCTCTTTTCTGGATGGCAAAGTGAGTGACATTGTGACAAGACAATAACAGACATACAGTCGACTTTGATCGATTTGAACAAAAACTTTCCTAACGCTGTCAATGACTGGAGATGGAGAAAAGACAAACTGCATTTCTCGATGGTCTGTGAACTATCTTAACAGCTCAAAGAGATAATAAAATTTGGAAAAAAGAATTTCCTGATATTGATAGTAATGCAATTAAAGTAGTTGAAGTCCCATGGTAGAATGCAAGGCAATTTTAGGGCTGAAATTGGCTATCATTTGTGCATGGTATCAAGCTTTGCCAAACTTGTGCAAAATGGGCCCCTCACTCTGTCTCTCTTCTACTCAACTGTAATAGAGTGGTACTAGTCAAAGCTTGAGGCAGATTGGGTCGAAAAGTGGGTAGTGTAGAGTACTGTAAAAAATTGGAGACTGTCCATTGTTGTGTGTTGTAGAAGAAAGTCAATCTAATCTGCTGTACACAAGAGAGAGAGAGAGAATACTATCTGTACACAAGCGCTAGCCATGACAGCCAGTTTTGCCTACTTGGTGTTGGCGCACCAATTACTGAAAGCAAAAAAACGCGACCCCTGTATTGCGATTAAATTGAGCAATTTACAGCATGGAGAGCACAACACCATTTACCTTCGGTCACTTCATCGTCAATAGTGCCTTTAACTTGTGCAAATGACCACTGCATATCTCCGCTTTCTACTCCAATGAAAGAAGGACGATTAGGAAATGTTTGAATTATGACGGTGGAAAAAACTCACGGTACATTATTTCAACTAAATTGACGTTAATGTGGAGAAAACTCGACGCACAGGCTTATAATCAGCTTACTTGGGTAAAGTGAAACACTGACACTAAATCCACTGTACTATGCATGCGATAATGCTTGTGCTTGCAGTCTAGCCTTGACTCATACAGTACTCAACGTACAGTACTACCACCGCGCTACAGTGTCAGGATACCCTGGACTGTACTGTACACTCTCCACTTTTCCCTGGCCCCGCTAACGCGGAATTACTGTACTTTGTACTGTAGACACCACAGTACAATCCACTACTGTAGTCAACCGCTTTTTCTTTCTTTTGCTAATTAGGCAGACTGCGCACAGACAACTGAGACAAGCGCGTCAATGCTGGAGAGAAAAAATAATTATTATTATTATTATTTATTATTATTATTAGTAGTAGTAGTAGTAGTAGTAGTCGTATTCCATTAGACATTATACTGCATCGATATGAAGTTTTCTGTTGCCAATCCAAGGCGTCTTGATTTTTCGCCCTCCTGATTGACGGATTCATCATTCAGTTGGTTCTATGCCTAGATCATTCATACTACTGTGTATATATGTTATATACAGAGAGAGAAATAGAGACACTACAATCCAATACAACAGCAGTCAAGTCACGCACTCGTTAAAACCAAGTTAGTTGACCGTGGTTCAGTAGTGTACTGTACTGTACTGCTGGGTCATACTTGGAAATTACAGTGCGTACTGTACTGTACGTACAGTATCATGGCGCCGGAGCGGCAAGCTGCAGTATGGTTATAATTTCAGGGAATTTACTGTCAAAACAAAAATTGTTTCTTTTTTTGGTGCCTATCTACAGTATAGTACAGTACACATGGTCAAAAGAACCCACGTATAACCATGGCCGAACTACTGCAAGAAAAGCTTTTCTGTGAGTCTATGGCCAAACTCAGTACAAGACAGCCCCATCAAAAGGTCCACTCAGCCCAGAATGGAACTGGGTCTACACTGTAGAATGAGTCTATCGGTCCGTCCACTACTGTATGGATGCTTTCATCATAACACTCTTTTCTTCCTTTCTTTTTACTCAAGTCAACTGGACTGAATCAGTAGAGACCCTGTATGAATCGGCAGCTTCTAAAGAGACAATAAGCAAAGAGAGAATTTCCTTTTCTGACAAGTCCCTGACTGAATGGACTGAACACTGTACAGTATACAGTATACAGTACTACACTACTCATCCAATTTTCTTGATTGCTGGAACTCCGCAGTCCCGTATGACTGTAGTGAATACAGTGTACAGTGTATAGTACTGTACAGTACAGTATTATGCATGCTCGAGAATGAAGATAGAAAATTCTCTTGATTCCTAGTCCTAAACGAAAGACGGACACGGAAAGGGCTATGGTGGAAGAGAGTACACCTGATTAAAAGCGTATTTTAATTCGCTTTGACCAGCCTTTCAAGATAGGGGGAATAAAGCACAATTTGGATCTTGAACGCAGTTGATCTAACTTGATTGTAACTTACTGACGGTAGTAGGATAGAGTAAGATATGGTCGACCTTCTTACTGTACTGTACTCTCTACATTGTACAATGCACATTGGTATACTAAACTGTAACATCAATGCTAGATTCTTCAGCTTTAGCAAGCAAACAGTAAATTACCAAAAAGATGCACGTAGTCAAGCTATTCATCGACTTGAAGGTGTGGATATTCTGTGCAAACATGCATCGTATTCCAACTTTTATTATAGCTAGGATTGCTACATGTAATTCATAATCATGACAGTATCATTAAACTGAAATCACAACACTATGCCACTTGCTAGACCTTGCCAGTGTTCTGTATGGAAGAATACACTAACCTATTGTACTGCACCTAATGGGTTAGCATAAGATCAGGGTATAATATGTCATTACGGCTATACTATTTAAATGCAGTAAATCCTTAATAAAACAGACTTTCAGTAACCTTACTAGGAGGAGTGGATCAAAGTTCCTCCATTCAAAGTTACAGGTCCGACCAAGACAGAATCGTGACACAAATGCATAACAATAACAGTGACTTCTCCTTTTTTTATTTTTTTGTATTTTTTGGACTACCCAATGGCAACAACAACATTATTCATCATTCTCTAAACGGCAGTAATTTATTGATGTTACTTGTTGGCAGCAAGTTGCCATTCTCAAGCATTGACTTTTAAAGAATAAATAAAATAGGCAGCATCACAGATGAATTCCATTTTATTTATTTCATTAATCCTGCAAGCTTCTTAAATTACGAGACGTGCGTACATCGTGCTAAACTACCTTGACGTAAGATTGTTATAGCAAAATAGATATCCATCATCAAGTTACAAAATTGTCAACGGAGAACGCGATCTCGTTTACGTATAAATAATGAAACTGTCAAAAAGATACATTATATTTATACACATCAATCATATTATGAACCAGCGATAGGAAGATATTGACTTTAGCAAAGAATACAGTTTGAATGAATCATCTTACTTTAGTATGAACATACAGTAGTTCTGATGAAGAGAAAGTACTGAAAATTAGGGTTGAATTTCATCTGTAATATACCATGTTTAGTTCGAGTCAAGTTGTAAGGAAATTGAGGCAGAAATTTGCATTTATACTGATTTAAAAATGTCAGTTAGGATAGGATATCAATTATACTCGAAATAAAATTACTGTATGATAGATAGTCAATAACCATTAGCTAAGTTTATATTAAACATGTCTCAAAAATAATAATATTGACCTTGATTTACAGAGAATAGACGTCTGGACATTCAAAAAAATGAATCAATGGTTATTACAATAGGTGTTTCCATAAAATTCTGCTTGCTAAAATGGAAATAAAGGTCATGATAGCAATTCTAAATTATCATATGCTCCTATTTATAGCTTTTAAAAGTTATCGTAACAATACGCAATAACCAATAACTTTAAATCTAAACTTCTTGCATAGCCTCAGCAATGCAAATTGCTAACTACACTATTTATTGTACGCTCACACCATAAAAAACTGGCTGAGATAATAATAAATAGTGTTCCAAGCTTAGATTGTTGTGATGACAGTACGTTGATGTATCTTCAGCATTTATAAACAGCTAAAAAGAGTTTATTGCATTGCCACTGCTCACTATTTCCGATTCCCTTGCGATAGCTTCGTACTTCTAGCTTTCACAGATGTATTTGAAGTGATTCCTTGCTTTGTTGAAGTAACATTATTCATTACTACCTTACTGCTAGTATAAACACCTGGATCATTCGAAGTCTTGGTTGAAACAATTTTGCCATTTAATTTTACAGTCGTTGTAACACCTTTATTAGCTGTTGTATGCTCGCTGATAATCATCTGTGATGTAGTTGTTGTTTTTCGGCTAGTGGTAGTAGAACTGTCGACATTGACTGAAGTACTAGAAACAGTTGATTTATTATTTCGTGTGTTAATTCTGGGCTGACTCATATTCTCCGTCTTATTTTCAGCTCTAATAGTAGAAGATTCACTATAACTATTCTGATGATATGTAGTCTTCTTTTCTCTCTCTGTCTTACTAGCAATGCTAGTAGCTTGATTACTGGATGACGTTGTCGATTTCTTTCTGGGAGCTATCGTAATTGTCGTCGTCACATTATCATTATTTTTAAGTCCCTCACGAGCTACAATAAAAGGTAACAAGAATATGCATGAAATTATTTGAATCAGCAAGGCTACAAAATCTGCGTTTAAAATACTAAAGCAAGAGAAGGTAGTAAACGCTTCATTAAAAGGATATTTCTGCCACCGCTTAATTAAATACTGTATGTTAATAACAGATATTTATACCATTAATAAAAAGGATGTATGTAATTTAAATCTTAAGAAATATCGAACTATACATAAATCGACTACATCAATTGAAAGTATAAATTAATCTTAAAGACATTTATCTTACCCTTTATACAGCATTACTATGATGAATGATATTAAAGTATGTACATAAATACGAAAACAAAATTAGGAATGCCTTACGCTGCGAAACCGCCTTATCAACAAGTATTGTGTAATTAAATTAAAGTCTATATTTTATCTCGTCATTAAATATTTCAGATTTTAAATTAGAAATATACGAATACACAGTATGATTAGAATGTTTCCTTAATAGAAAAGAGTGTAAATAATGCAAATTTGAGCTTACCTGAATTTTGAAGTGCTACTTGAATAGCACCTAGTGAATTAGAACGGTATAACCTTTGTTTTACAGGGGGTTTCTTATTTCCTTCTTTTTGCAAAGCCAACATTTTTTGCCTTGAAACCTCAATACTCCCTAGTGAACGCTTCCTTTCCAAGACAACTGGACGACTGCGATGTTTAGCTATAGAACGATTATCAGTAGGCGAGGCATTCATTTTCGATGTCGTGGTCCACTGAGTTGTGGATTCTGTAACAATCTCACGTTTCAATTTGGTAGTAGTAACGCGTTGATGTTGACTTTGAGAATTTGAGCTTCTCGTAATTAGTTTTGTATTTTGATACTGATCCTCTTTAACAGCCTGCTTTGCATTACTGTATTGATTAGAAGTATTGGAGTTACGTTTTTGCAAAACAATTTTCGTGGATTGATGTCTATCCACTTTCTCTGTAACTTGTTGAGCGCTGCCATATTTAGCAACAAATTTTCGCTCACGTTCAGCTACGGTATCAGTGGATAATCCACTCCTTAAAACTTCAACGCTACCTATTGACAGCTTTCTAATACGAGTTAGATTCGAAGCTAAAGGATCAAAATCTCCCTTCGAGTATAAATCGCTTAATGAGCTCGCTCGCACTAATTTCTTGTGCTTTATAGCCCTATTGGCCTCGGTATATTTATTAATTGTTGCATTCGTATTTACAGAGCCTACTATTTTGCGCTGCGATTCCGGTGAATTTGGTGCTGATCGAGATTCAAATCGAGATTTAGGGTTAGCCTCAACGAAAACAGCGCCATCTTCAAGCTCGTTCGGTGGAGAACTAGGAACTGATTGAGATCCTCTTCTAGAAGGTTGATCACCACCAGAGTGTGCTCGAAACTTTGGCTTTGCCATTCTGCTTTTAGCTTTGAAGGAACTAAACTTAGAGACGGCTAATAAGATAGAAGATACAACGCAATCGATGTTATTAAGAAGCTGGACAACATTACTACAACTACAGAATGATTATTTTATTGCTAATTACTATCTTTCTTAGTTGCCATCATAATTAAACTACTGCAAATAGTTAGCTATACGGTCAATTACATTTCGGATTGCTTGAAAGATTTATCTAGTTGTATACTAGATAGACGATACAATATCATTTTCTACGATCAGTATTACAGCACATTTTAATTTGAGCTAATGAAAAGAATTTTGATAGCTTCTTCAATCTATTGTCGGTTCGACCAATCTACGATATTAGGATTTTTATTAAGACATGCACCGTACCGCGGCTAAACTTTGAAAATCATATATTTCCCCAATTTACTGTATCTTCCAAAGATTCCTAATGTTTCTCAGCCATTAATGGTTTATAAATTGCAATTACTAGATAAACTATTATCGCTATCTAGGTATAGCACTGTGCTTAACAATAAAGATCCATATTGTCGGAATTATAATATTACAATGATTCCATTCTCGATACAGTTATACAGTATCGTAAAACCAAAGTGCAAAACTTATATATCAATTATTTATAACTATTAAATTAGCTCAACCTTCTCCGATAGAGTAAGTAATTAAAGCTGTTTTATTCAGCATCTATAATTGATATTATCAGTATAATATTTCAGTAAAATTTGTTGATTATAGATAACCATGATTACTGTCATGATAGCAATAAAGCTTATATCGGTCAAATTGATTAAATGAAGGTAGATGTGGAACCTACGTATCTTGTTATTAATTTTATGATGGTAGTCTACAAGTACTTTGAAATTTCGGATAATATTCATAACGGTAGTATAAGTAAATAACGCCCGGCATTATGTTTAAACGGTAATGGTCGAAATTAGACTTAGGCTTATTTTCTGTAATCAAAGTACACTCATGCTTATAAAAAGCATTTAAATATTATATCTTAAAAACATCCGATCAGATTTTAGGCATTGTACGTAAACAAAGGATAAACAATCTGTCATACTGATCTTTCGGTATAAAAGTAATATAAAATATATTCTGTGTTTTCAACTATAAAATCATAATAATAAATCTTGAATTAACATAGATAGTAGAGTATGGCTTTCTTTGTCCATCAAAGTCTAAACCTATTAAACTACGATTATTAGCTAAAAGTGTTACCAAGTAAATCTAATGCCTTGATAAATTAGAGCATTGTTAATGTAAGGTGTAAAGGTAAACGACATTATAGACTTTCGAAATTTTTGGACAGTTTTGATAATAGTAAACTCGATATTTTTCCTACAGATCCTGTTACGATACTTGTAATAACTTAGTGTGTGTAGAACACGATCTTTCATTATATTCCGTCAATATTGACGATCTTATTCTAGTCAGCAGCTAGCTATATTACAAATATACAGAGAGAAAGCAACTCATGTATCGACCATCTAGTTCTAATTATCATGATACAGATGATGTTACAAGATTTAAAGTCATGCGTTATTCATGCATGATTAGGTTTGTATTATTGAATTCAATTTCTTATAAATGACAAGCCAGATGTTTCTTTACTGGCATTGTTACAAAAAGAATGATAACAAGAAAATATGTCAATGTCAGTTACGATAAATTGATTATTTCATTCCCAATATAACTATAAATCGTTACAGTACCTACTATTACGACTTAGATGAAGTATGTAAATAATAGAAAAAAATAGCTAGAATAGTATTCCTTATAATAATGCAAGAACTATTGGATGTTAAAAGAAATTATTAGGTATACGCGTATAACGACTAATGACGGAACTTACACTTCCTGCTATTTTCATGGCTGTTCTCATCCTATAATTTGTGATAAAGCATATTAGATCAGCTTATCTAATAGTAAAATAATTCAACCAAATTCTGTATTAGTATTAGCATACTATTGACAAGAGATTATAATTAGTTAAGCACATAAGTTGAGAGTAATTAAGATGGATGCAAAATAATAGTTAAACATCTGCTAGACACGTTTAGATCGTAAGGGGGCCATCGTAAGCTACCTTCTAGAATCAGCTAAAAATAAAGGCTGGAGGGATCAAATCTATATTTAGCGAAACTATTGTATCTGTGGCGTACATAATATTGGTCAAGTTTATTTTTAATTTAACCGAAATGGAAGAGTTGCATTGCGGTATTATGATGATTTAATTGGTAAATTTATGTTAAATATTTAAATCAACTCGTTAAGTATAAAGACTGATTTTCTACTTAGACATCATCCATTCAAGTCGTGGAAATTTTCAGATAATGTCACTACTTTAAGTATAACTTATTTCAGCTTTAATGATACCACAAAAAGTGTTATTTCTAATAAGTATGCTATGATCGACAGGAGAGTAGAGACTTGGACCGAGCCAAAATGCAATTTTAAAGTATGAAAAAATATTCATGTATTAACTCTTTAATGAATTCTTTCTATTATCAGAGTTGAGATCTTTTAATTTTTTCAGCATCGGCTATCGAATTGATTGCATGAAATTAATCATTCTATATTGGTGTTTAAACACTACTGAAAAGGCTTAATAATTAGAAGCGAATTATGAAAAGCTTTTCTCAATAATTATTTCAAGTAACATAGATCAATAACATCAACAGTAATAGTAATACGAAGAGTTTTGTTCTTTTGCTAAATTCTTACGGTATTAGTATAATCATTATCTTCTCCATAACTGTGATGTCTGTGTACGTAAGTTGCCATTTTGATTCGTTTTCGATCCAGTATTGAAATAATAAAACTTCTCGTTTCTATGCTCTTCGTAACCTCGAAGACTGTGATTGTAAGATAATTATGATGATATGGCTACCGTATTTCTTCGGCCTAGTTAATGTCTGTAACGAAATAAAACGACGATGATTTAACCGATTTAACTTCAGAAAAGAAAGACTTTTGAACGACATTTTAATCGATCTTCTATATTGTGTTGTTATAAATCTCAATAATGTAATAAAATTAGTTAACCTAGGAAATTTGATCATGGAAAGTTAATTTAATTGGATTTATTACCTGAGGATTAGGATTAATAACCAAATCATTAAATGTTTCGATCACTCTATTCAAGATAGTCGATGTTGCTTAACCAACAAAATGAAGGCAATACCACAAGGATTATCGTCTAGCCACTACGCTAATGATCGCAACCAATGTCGACGAAATGAAACGATAATAGTAATCTTGATAGATACTTGAATCATTTGCATAGTTATCTTAATTATAATTTGAATTAAAACTGAAACAATAGGAAATAATTATATTGTCCTCCCACAAGCACCATTCTCATCTATTCAATCCTGATTCATTTATCATAAAGCTATGACAAAAGCAAATATTAATTTATTACTTCCTAGCCGTCGAAGGTTAAGGCTGATTTCTTTTCAAAATGCATCGTGTTCAATTCAGTTTCAATGATACACTCTTAAAATTTAGCCTCAAATTTAAGATTCGCCATAAATAGGAAAAAATAAATATTACAATCCATAATTCTATTTGCTAAATAAGTAAAATATCTATAATCTGTTAGAAATAAGAATGTAGGCTTTAAATTCTGCTTAGTAGTTGCTATATTGACGTTTAACGATCATACTTAGCAGCGAACGAATTAACTACGAATTTGATACCAGGGTAGGGGGTGATAGTGGGTGGAGAGAAGAATCATTGTTCTATAAATCATTGTTCCATGTCTAAAAGCATAGCCATGGACATGATTCCATATAATTTCAAATAAGCTATTAGAATTATTGAAATGAAGTTTTAAAGGCAATGATCACAGACATTATAGTAAATCAATGTTGAAAAGAAGACCCTGAGGAAACAAACGATCTACGAGTATGTGCATCATGTATATGCCACCGTTTGCATCTGATAAAGTAAAGCTGATATTCAGATCAATAATTATCACAGTTTTTTAATTAATTAATTATGATTATTAAATGCTACTTCAGTTAAAAGTATCTTAGCTATAATTAAATCTGTCAAGAAGCTTTCTTTCTAGCAGAAATTACAGATTGGGAAGGCATGAATTGCAATATTAAAAGTAGGGCTGTATCTAGATATAAAACTCAACATTCATTGTGGTTTGCCGGATCAGACGGGCATGAAAGACAGATCTTGTAGAGTAAAGCTTTTGTAATCTATATCAAATTTAGTTAGAAGATCTATAATGGGCATATCTTTTCTTATTTGTAAAATACTGTATATCAGATACAATTGTTTGGCTTTATAAATATTTTGGCACGGGTTATCTATCATTATTGATGGCTTTTTTTGAAAGGCCAATGGTCTTTCTTGTTTTTAATAAATAATTGCAATCCTCATGGCAATACACTGTTCATCATGGCAACGAAATAACATTGACATGGAAAACGGATTATTTCAAAAAAGAGATATCAATTCCTTTGATGACGATAATTAAAAGGTGTCTTAATTATCTTGCTTTTAGACTATGGCTGGATTTAAATAATAAATTGATTATAAACTATAGAACGTCCGTCATGTATGCATAAGCCAGGAAATAGAGCTAATTATCACAACTTCCACAAATGAGTCATTTTATTACTTCTTAACTAGTTTTAAGGTGGAGCTAAAACTGTACTACGGTCATTTTTTGTAATTGAAACAATATAATCTGTAAAAAACCCTACAATATGATACAGTTTATGTTTACCTAGCTAATTTCAAGACATTGAAGCGATGGTGCTAGATACTGCATTAGTTTTAAAACTGTTTTGTATAAACTAATTCAAATAGACCTAAAGAAAGATTTAAATTGATGAAATTTGATCCACTTTGATAGCATTGGTAGTAATTGTAGCATGCTATGCGACCGTGTTGTTTCTAATTATGCCCTAAATTCCTTGATTATATAAATGTACTTGTTCATTAGCAATATTATTCTGCAGGGCATTTACATCAGCGATAAACCGTTATCTTCTAGAAATATTGAACAAAAAAGAGATCTGTGAATGTATTTAAGTTTCTCACTTTAACATCGGCTCAATTGATTAATTTAACGCAATTGGTGCTAAAATTTAATATTAAGATAATTATTTATCTTCCTATATACTTACTGAGAGCAAATACTGATGGAAATAAATATTAATTTTAAATTTTGTGACATGGTGGGCTTTCATCTCTAAATTAATCAAAATTAATGATTTCTAGATCAAGCGTAAAATAGTCAAGGGGTAAAATGAAGGAAATGATAGAAGAAAATCGCTCTCCATCATAATCTTATTTGTTTAAAATCTAAATTCAAACATGTTTGTCCTATTTCTGAATAATTGTTAATTTCCTTATAAAATTAAGCAATTATAACGCTAAAAATAAGTAATAGCAGGCGATTCTGTTATTGCCGTTTAATTTTATGTTTACGCATATAATGATTTTCTTTTATCTTTTAGTCAAGTGATGTAAGAGACATGTCAAAGAGTCAACGATTTGATTAATCTAGTACATTCTTCTTTTGAAACTATTTTATATAAACTTAAATTCTATTAATTTGATAAAATACTATCGATGACCATCTCAGATATAGAAACAAAGCGGTTTAATCTATACAACAGTACTAGAATTTCTCCTTACACGGGTATGCAGCTTATTAATGTTATTGAGGCTATTTGATGCAGCACCGAATATCACTTGTGTGGAAATTAAATTTTAGTTTCTAAGGCTTCGCTTAGAGTCAATTATTCGAGTATATGCTCATACTACATAGAATTATGGTATATCAGCCAGACTTGAAATATCGGATATGCTAGAATTGATCATGCAGTAGGCTATCGAACCTATAATTTAGCAGAGTAGAATTTGGGTATATCATGCCAATGATAGCTAATAATTATATAATACTTAACGTTAACATTTTATAACAATAATTTGACAGAATCTTTAAGTTAGATAACAAGATGATTTACACAATTCAAATTCAGTTATCAAAAAACTTTCAAGAAGAATTTAAACGAGATATTGGATAGTTGACTTATTCAAGATCTATTTGTTTTACTGTGTGTTCTCAATGCCAAGTTCAAAACTAATCCAGAGCAAAGAATTTATAAGTTATGATGAAGCATTATCGATTAGGGCCGATATTTGAACTAATGTAAAGAAATTTTCAAGTAATGCTAAATCGACACTCAACCAACATTTGTAACTAAAGCATAGCGCTCAAGCAGTCTGAGAAACTATAATAGAGCGAATTTACAGCTATGAAATGATTGAAATATTTGTATATAATCCTTTCCTTCGAGTAACAAATTAATATTACGATGATTTCGGTAGCCAATCATTGCATTCATCGATAATTGTTATCACGCATTAAATATTTGATCACCAACTTAATAAGCCTTCGATAAGATATATATATGTTAACATATATATAGATTGATAAGTACAGTAGGTATTTCTTATGCGGTAATTTACTAAAGGACGTCTATCTCTAGTGAGTACGGGTAATCGGAGCGTAAGAGAACAAAATTGCTACAGTTAAAATTGCTAATGCTATTTTTTTATGCAATAGCCCAAGCTTCGAGCGCGGTTTAAGCTAGATATAATAACTGCATAAGCACCTTACTTAAAAGGAGGTCTTCACATCTTGTGATAGCCTATAAATTACAGTTTAAGTGTATTATAAAGTAAAGACAAATTATTTTGTTATTTAAGTTAAAACAGTAAATAGAATAGAATTTAATTTTATTTACAATTATTGTCCATTATACTCTACAAATGATGCTAAAAGATAAAGAAAAGTGTTAAAAATAATAGTTGGTTGTATTATACTATAACATTCATATAATGCTAAATATTTCCTAATTTATCAACTCAATAAAAAAATGGAGATACGATAATGTCGTGGTTGATCTTTAACTATCAAATAAGTTGATTATTCTCAAGCAATTGGACTATGATTATTAATACTCCCAAAATATACCGATGCTGATCAGCATTTGTTATACTCTATGCATACTGTTACAGATTATTTTAGATTTTTTGTATATAAAACAAAATAACTAACACATTTATGCAATATCTAATAGTGATTAAAATTGTATTTGGCAATGAATAACCACGTTAGTTTTAGTGTTACTTAAGATTAAATGTTCACAATTAAAATACATTTTAAAATAATCCCGATATAATATAACAAGCATCAGACAGTTAGGTAGATGGAATCTCAACGCAAGATTATTGCATGTATTGGTATATCTGTACGTTAGTTATTACACTTATAGCCTTACAACTAACCAATCTATTGAAAGATATTGTCAATACTGCAACATAAGAAGCACAAAAAATAAGAGGGTCATTGTTTTACCTCAACAATATCCATTGAAGGAGCAAACAGTGTTGCTGAAATATATCGACTTAGACGCTTTAGGAAAATTTAACTTGACGTTTGCATCATATTGTTAGTTTATGAATAGATATTCATTACTAGCTAATGATTGTTATCAATTATAAATCCGTCTAACTGTCAATATTTGTTACTTGTAATGCTTAAATACTGTACTTTCATGAAGTAGTTATAATTAGCATTTTTTTATCACTAATAGCCACATAGCATGCAATATCATTGCAAAGGCCTATATTGACTTTCTCCTTCATATTCAATACGTAGAAATAGCTAAGAAATAATTATTATTATGTCTTAAATTCTAAATAACAGAAGAACATAATTGACCTTATAGATGTAAAATATGCAATAGGAAAACAATTATACGAGCAACTATCAGACGACTTTCTACATATATAATTTAACCTTATGTTATTTCATTTATTTTAGCGTGTAAAGACTGAGTAAAGAGAGATTAATTTCTTTCCAATTCTTTGTTGAAATTGTATTGCTGAAACTCAAAGTCTTATCTCATACGTATCGATCCTTTACCCTTAGCTGACTGGGTACGTGGACGTGGAATCGGTGCATCACTATTATCACCGCCATTGCGAGGACGCCTTGGAACATTATTACTAGGTCCAGTTGTAACTCGCGCTCCACGATTTGGTGATGGGCGTCGATTATAATCTGCTTGATTGGAAGATTGGTTATAATTATCATTGTCCATTTCTTCATTGTAGCGATCATCAGGTGCATTATTACGGCGACTGCTAGCAGCTACACTAATCCTTCCACCTCGAGATTGACTTGCTGCATTGTTACGACGTTCTCGATCATTGCGTCCATAGTCTTGATTATCTAATCACATTTTGTAACAAAAATTAAATTTATTCGATTAGCTATCGTTTTTCCTCATACGTTAATTTTCTATCCGCCACTTCATCAACATACATAAATAATACTAATTTCAAGCATTTGCTACGATTTTATGGTACTAATACCTAACAGAGAGTATAGAAACACGTTCTATTAAAAAATTATTTGATATCTAATTTACCTCGATCATAGTTTGAACCACTTTCATTATCTTGATTATAAAATTGTTGCGGTCGACGAAGCTTCATGCTTACTCTTGCTGAAGGTTTTGGCCTTACAGAGTTATCTAAGATTGAAAAATTTCAGGTGAATTATGATAGTTGCAATAATGAAAGAAGCTCTTTATCCTGATTAAATTTAAATTTGGACACAAGAATAAATTTATTCAAAGCAATATCATCATGTTGTTGGCATAAATATATCGTCCACATTGATTATCAAATTAGTTTACCATAATCTTCCATGTTTGATGGATTATCTTGCTGATTAGTTGATGTAGTAGCTTGATAATTTGCTGCAGATCTTCGATTCGGTGGCATACCAGAATTAGCCGGTCTTTCATCGCTAGTTCTCGATGGCCCTGAATTCATATCTCTACCTCGGTTTCCACCAACAGAGACAGTAGCGCCTTTCGATACTCGAATAGTTCGATCTTGCGATGGTCTTCCCTCACCTTGCGTTGGTGGCTGTTTATTTCTACCTCCGCCATAACTAGGCTGATGTTGTGGTGATTCATTTGAAATATCTGAAGTCTCAGATTCCTCAATATTGAGAGCTAAATTGGAGCGACTATTGCCACCATTCCAAGATTTTTTATTATCAACACCAGCACGAGGACTTCTACGTATACCTGCAGTTGTGGATGGCTGTTGATAATTTGAATCTACCTGACTTCTTCCTACAGTTTCACCTGGATCATCAGCCGGTAATGGATATACTTGTAGATTTTTCAAATTGTGGCCTAATACGGAATTTACGTAATTATCAGTCTGCTTTTGCTGTGGCTGTTGCTGTTGCTGTTGATTGCCATAAGAATCCCATTGATTCCCGCCATTAGAATCGTTATAATCCTGATTATATTGCTGATTGTTATTATCATATTGATCATAGCTGCTGTAGCCTTGGTTAGCGTTTGAATCATAGCTATACTGGGCTGTATAACCTTGCTGGGATTGATCAGCAGTAGAACTGGGATTTTTGTAATCATAATAGGCTTTATTTTGAGACCCGCCATAACCTTGATTACTATAATTTTGATTCTGATAGGAGTTGGAATCATATCCATTACCATTTGAATAATTATTTCTCTCCGTATTGCGATTTGGTTGCGGATAGGAATTTGTAGATGGTTGAGGCTGTTGCCAGTTTTGTTCACCGCCAGTAAAATTAGGAGGTTTTCCTTTACTTTCATCAAGAATAGAAGGTCTACTTGATCTATTTGGTCGTTGATTACTTTGATTGTACTGGTTGCTTGATTGCTGCTGATTAGTATAACTATCCTGGTAGTTCCCAGAATATGGACGACGCTGATTTGAGTAATCGCGTTCTTGCATATTAGAGTGAGCATTGTCATAATTAGACTGTGATGATCTATTCTGGCTCATAGCTGCATTGGGGCTTACATTTCGTTGATTGTAGTTAGATTCGTAGCCTTGCTGAGAGCTATAAGGTGCTTGCTTTCTGTTAGCATTATAATCATCGCTGCCATAAGAATAGGGTCGCTGATTTGCTTGCTGTGGCTGCTTTTGCTGTTGATTGGGATATTGATTGCCTCCGTAAGATTCGTCAGCAATGTTACTAGTGCTTTGATAGCCTGCTTTCATTTGATTTAGATTGTCGTACGATTGTGATGAGGCTAGAAGAGTGCCGAGAAGAGTCAATGAATTAGATTTATGAATACTTGGTATTAAACTACAGGCAAATATAATGCAAATATTTATACATTATTACTAATGATACTTTTATTTCATTAAACATGATTAATATATCAAATTATGAGAAATTTTAGAAAATGAAGATTAAAAAGTTCAAGCTAAAATTGAGATAAAGTGTTCATAAAGAGTATATTATTCAACCCGATTATCAAGTATCGATTCATGCTTTACTTTACAGGTATAAGTATTGCTAAAAAATAATTTTCCCGGCTAAAGTACGAGTATAAACGATAAACTATAAGTAAAAAGAAGACTGGGTGCTAATATACGAATGATTCCGCAATGTCATTATCTGCGGTGTATAGAAAAGACGAAATGAGTTGGTTATGAACTAGAAAAATGATCAATAATAAATAGCCACGAAGGAATGATGGGAATAATTTACTTGTTAGTAATGTAAATTTAATGAAACTTAATTTAAACAATCTTTCTACAGGTAGAAGAATTTCCTGAAGAATTTGATTACTTAGGGCAATAAGACAACACAACGATGGTAAAAGCACTAACAAATTCATCGCCATTTCAATATATACACGTATATCTGGTAATATTAAGAGGTAAAGTTTTTAAGGCGAAAATATTCTTGTAGAGAAGTAAGTTAAGGGATACTTAATGTCCATTGGTAACAAGGGTTTTCAACAGAATGAAAAGTAAATTAAATCGTATTTTTGGGATTTTTGAGCAAAAATATTCTTCAGTAGGCTAAATGCATAGGACTACCATCAAATGGATTCTAGTTCAGATATTCATCACCGATAATTATAAGAATTATATTCTGAGTTGTAGAAAACATTCTAATAAAATCTGTAGTATAAGAATAGCAATTAAATATGCTATTGCTGCTATTTAGAAATTTTTTAGTCTTATAGTATACTCCAATGTTATTATCATCATTCATGATTATTTGAAAGTGTATCGACAAAGAATCATGTTCAGAATGGCCAAATCGTGGCTGTGAGGCTATCTGTTAATCAAATTTCACAGTTCAACACCTCCCGCCAGTCAATTAGAACCTTTAATGAATTAAATAATTTATCACTGTTGAAGCTATACTGTGCATGATGACTCAGATATTTACATTTCATAATTTCATAATAGATAAACAGGACCGAGTGATTAAAGTAATGTCGTTACACACGTAACTCAAGGTAGCTTGATATTGAATTAGCACAAGAAGCCAGTAGCGTACCAAGAAGTTACTGTCATAAGCAAGTAATAAGTTGGAAGTTTAAATAGAAAACAAATAGACATGAATCAATATTTAAATATCGTTATTATCATTTGTGTACATCTTATCGCATTTCATCTTATCCGACAACTATTATGCAGGTTGTAAGGAGCCTATTTTACTGTCTTCATCCGACCCAGGAAAAATTCTCATTAGACAGATACAATATAAGAGTAGTTAGGGAAAAGGTTAAAAATCAATTGGTATAGCTTAATTCGAGACAAAACATATTCTTTATCGCATGAATAAAATAATATCGCTGATTTCAATTTTTGGTTTAGTTCTATAAGTAATATTATTATTTTATCAGCTATTTTCACTAAAGCGTAGGTAAATTATGCGATCTAGTGCAAATAAATTGTCATCTTTAAAGAAATATGGTCCTACACTATATTTAATATAAAATAATCATAATGACAAATATACGATTACAAACCATAAAGTAGCCTCCATTTTCTTGAGTTACTTATAGCTAAGACTATCTCGCGATAATTTTAGCTTCGTAAATCAGTAAACTAGCTTCTTAAACTAAACGTAGTAACCGCTACAGATAAATTATTACACCTATCCAGATGAATGCAGGTAATAAATTAATGAGTCATTTATATTACGCACAAATTAGTACTAGTGCAAATACTCTAGGGACAAGCACGTACGGACGTGAGATAACTTATTTTAAATAAATAATGAAAAACTTATTTTAAATAAATAATGAAAAACTTGTTTGTTTTTCCTTATTTAAAATTCTACTATAATGAAAACATGGAGGACAATACACTTTGGGATTAGTACCTAGATGATTCAACATTCCATGACTAAGTTAAAATTTAATCAGCAGTTGTTTTAAAATACTATTGAAATAATAACTATCTAATGTGGATTGTCTATTACAGGAAAATGCTAACCTTCCATATCTATTTACGAAAAATTTAATCTATAGGTTATATAAAGGTATCTGATTTAGGATAAATGACAAAGAAATCTACTCTTGCGAATGAATTAGTCGAGAATTTGTTTCGGCTAAAAGTTTCAAATTTGGATAGAAATATTTATGTGTTACTCACAAATACACGCCATAAAACAGCTGCTTTTCAAATATAGCTCAAAAAAATATACAGTCAACTATAAATACTGAAGATAATTTGGAAGTCACATGAAAGTAAATTAGTTAAAAAATTAAATTATTCGGATTTTATAGTTGATACATAAAAAAGTCAACCTACGTTCCCGAAATTATTTCAAATTAAGCGAAACTAGTCTGGACTTTAACTCTTACTTTATAAGCAAACAGATAAATAACTCTTATCTGATAGTTTACTTTTATAGTTGTTTCATTCTATCTAATAAAGTGTTATAAAAGTACCTCAAATTAGTACGTTACTTTTATAACAATTACTTCCTATTCTAATAGATCGTGTGGATTTATTTATACAGGATTGATGATAAAGTCTTGACGTAACGATAAAATCATTAATATCTGGATAAATAATGCATTATATCTTTAGTCAGCAGGATACTCTAGCAAAACTATAGGTGGTCTGGACAAGAATAGATATGATAGTAATAGAAAGCCGTTCTTTTACTCAAGTACAAAATAATTTTCCTTTCAGTTACCAACAAAATTATTATTTGCAAGCAGACAATAACTACTATTATGACTTTGTGGCTGCTATGACTATACTCTCAATTTCTAAAAATGGTGATCGTAGCTATAAGTTGTCCCAATCTATAACATTTATAGCCTAATTTAGTGCTTCATAAAATAGCAACTGTTACCTAAACTTCGTTTATTCTGGTTTATCAGTTTAATGATCATCGACATTTGCCATGATAACCGTTTAATGGTAAACATTTAATTAATCTTAGAGTAAATCAGACCTGAATTTAATAATAATTATTACTATGAATTCTCCTGAAAGTTATAGATGTTATTGTGAATAACTTCTTTTGAAAGAGCATTATATTGTATTGCATATTCCTATTTTCCATTTACTTTAATATAAATAACCAAAAAAGTTTATTTGGTCAGACTGTATTATCTAGATAAAATTAGTTTTAATAAGTTAATTTTAGACAAGAATATATAGTTAGGTAAGACATCAATAATATGTAAGATAGCATCATACAGTAGCTTTCTTCTCGTAATTAGGCGAATTTATTAATGAAATAAAGTGGAATAATATGAAATTAAACGATAATAATGTCAGCGTGACCTTTATGATATATGATTATGATCTTTCAATGAAAAGATTTCATTGCGATATGTATGTGGCATATTCTAAGATAACTCGAAAGTCAATAACGACCGAGATATTAAGCGAAAGGAGAACTTTAAACATTATGCCAAAAAACTTAAACTAATATTTACAAAAGTAATAAAATATAATAAGAGTATGAGATCACTTCAGATGGCTTTTATTAAACTGGAATCTGATGCTTAAAATCGCATTGATAGGAATAATTCTCCCCAAACAGAAATATGGAGCAATGTTTTAATTAGCATAGCTTTTACTAAGGTAGCAGTTCCTTCTATGTAAATACTACAGTATAAGTAACGATACTATCTTTGCTATATACTGTAATTGGACGATCTAGCTTGAAATGAAGGGGAAGTGAGCGATAGTACTTCCATATGAATTTTATATATTAGTTTAACATTTTTTCACTTTATGACAAGATGAGCTGTAAGTAATGATTTTATACTCAAACTTTTAACGTAAATGCTTCATTTCTAATGAGAGCTAATTCATGCTCGTAGTAACAATAAGCAAGCAATAGACTGAAGTCAATACAGTGAGTTCAATAGTAAATTAAGATGTTTTACACCTGCTACATAAAGATAATTCACTTACGATTATATTTGCCATAATTATTCTGTGTTCCTCCTCCTTGCACTGGGTAGGACTAATTACACAAGAAAATGATAACTTTACACTTTAAGAAATAGGCAACAATTATATGCAAAATTCAGTCATAGATAGAGTAAATTCTATGAAATGAGCGATTATTTATTATGCGAATAAAGACTTTTTTATTAATCGTACCTACAGTATTCGAGCAATATTATTTTTTATACAGCATGATACTCGTAAGGTGAAATCGAAGCGTTTAACATTTATTTTAAAAAACGATGATACGGTAAAGGATGTTAGTCTACTACTAAAAATAGGATATGAACAATATGCAGGTTTGTCTATTCTACTGTTTCAACTATTAACAGATAATATGCAGGTATTAATGAGGAAATACTCTATTAGGTTCATTATTATTATTAACAATCACTAAAATAATCTCTTATACGCGTACGTTATCTGTTATCATTTTAATTTGTTACCGGTGTTGTATAACGAAAAGATATCTCAGATAGAATTATACAGCTAGACAAGAGAGTAACTAGAGATTGAGAATATATCTAACTTAAAGACTGACATAACCCAAAGCTCTGATAATCCTATCTTATTGTATGAGACTACCAAATAGTTCTACTGCTTTCCTTCCTGTATTTTAGTAACAGAAAAGTTCTATAGCTGCACTTATTACTAGCATTATGAAGATTTTTATATATCTTAGCAGAATTGAATAAAGTAATAAAATCGTTACAGGCATCATGATGTTCTTATTATCATGGAAAACAGGCTAGATTATGAGATTATTTTGCGCC